CCGACTACGATGGCGGCGAAACTTTTGGGAATGTATCAAGTCCACTGTCAGATGTTGGGAATCATGACAATTACTATGGCAGACGACTTCAAACTAGGTGCGTTCTACATGGTCTCCCTGAAAAGAAGACCAAGTTGAGACAACGAGGTCAACTTACTTCTATCAATTTCTTTATATATTTTGACAGCTATTTTTTTCCAGGATGTTTATATATCATATTGAATTGTATGCTTATGATTATTTTTCTGTTTTCAATCATCGAACCCTCTAGATGGTAGCATTGAAGAACATTTGACAAATCAGTTAACGGAAGCCAAAAAGAAGCAGTTGACGCAACTCAGAGAGGCTCGTTCTGTTCAGCGTCGGCTCCTCACTGAATTTCAGGATATCGAAACGGGCGATCTTCTAAAGTTCAACCAGCTTAAGGCAAGGGAATTTTTATCTTACTTTCCATTTCTTACGCTTATCTTTTCTCTGACGATTCTCTTTTGCTAGCATGAAATTTGCTTTTGTTATTCACTTTTACTAGTTTCGAAAAAAACATTTGATATTCGCCAAATCCCCTATTCACGCATGGGGTTTAATCGCACTAGAACCTATTGCAGCTGAAGAAATGGTTATCGAGTATGTCGGGCATGTTGTTCGCAAAGGAGTAGCAGAGCTCCGAGAGAAGCGTTATGAAGCCAAAGGAATAGGTAGTTCTTACCTCTTCCGCATTGATGATGAATTCGTTATCGATGCGACAATGTGGGGCAATAATGCTAGATTCATCAATCACAGTTGCCAAGTGAGTTTGTTTACTGACTTTCTTTGCCCATATGGATTCATTTTATACTAGCGTGATATCCAATCAAAAAATATCGGTTTCAACTTTTGTCAAACGTTATTTACTTAATGATAGCTATATAGACACTGCTATTCTTTATCTTATGCAATTTAAAATCGGTATACTAATAAGATATATTTAATAAAACTAACTTTTTCTCACCATTTGATTTCATGAAGAATTTATTCATTCTCGGCTCCGCCACCAGAGGGATTTCCCTTCGCTATAGACTTATAACTATTTTTCAGTCTTTATTATCAACAATTATTTTGAATTATTTTGAATATAGACCGATTAGATTTTATGCTTAAACACAATTTGCTGGTCATGTAGAGGGTAATTCTCGTGTCATGGTTCTAAGGGGGGTCAACAAATTTTAATGTATGAGATGTATTCAACAAATTTCGTTTAAGGTGATGAAGGACTGGTAGTTGAATACATCTCTTAAAACTGATTTACTGGTAGTCCCGAAACCCTAATTATGAACGAAAAATTTTGGTGTGCTTTTATTTATGCACTAGAAAGCAGTTTTTAAAGAACATATCACCCAAGGGAAAATGAAATGTAGCTCTTAATTTTCGTGTTTGAGCAACATCTTATTAAAGCAATTCAAGAAATCCTTATTCTTAAACGGTCCAGCTTTTTAACTTCAGAACCACCGATTACTGTTATGATACACTTTATTAAGCAATCTTGTATTTGTCATATTATTTTTGGCTTTTGTTTTATTTCATTTTAGCCAAATTGCTACGCAAAGATTATCACTGTAGAAGGAAAAAAGAAAATTGTTATATATTCCAAGCGTGACATTAATGTAATGGAGGAGATCACTTATGACTACAAGTTCCCCTATGAAGAGGAAAAAATACCCTGTCTCTGTGGCGCACCGTCTTGTCGAGGCACATTAAACTGATCTAATATGCCCTAGGAAATAAGGGACTGCTTGGTTTTAACTTTTATCCTTTTTTGCTCTTGTGTTACAACTGCATTCCCTCTTATCCATACGCTGTACATATCTCTGTATAGATTTCATCCCTATTCTTTAGATTTGAATCAATAGTAACAGGCTGTATTATCCAAACACTTATACATCTAAATCAGGGATTTATTTTTACCAAGATATATCCACTCCCTTTTATGCACATAGATCCTCCGATCTTTTTTTATTCAGGGTACAGTTGTTTTCTTTGACTAAAAATTACGCTATATTTTGTATAGACTTTGATCTTCAAACATTGTACACTTTGCTTCATTCTTTCGAATTTGGTCGTATTTTCAAATTATTCACTTCACCAGTTGTGCCTGGAA